TGGAATACTACACTGCTGTAAAAAAAAAGAAGGAACTTTTACCATTTGCAATAGCATGGATGGACCTGGAGAGCATTATTCTAAGCAAAATAAGCCAGTCAGAGAAAGATAAATATCACGTGATCTCACTCATTTGTGGAATATAATGAACAACATAAACTGATGAAGAAAAATAGAGCCAGAGACATAGAAGCATTGAACAGACCATAAAACTTTAGAGTGGAAGCCAGGAGAGGGTGTGTGTGGTGGGTAAGAAATCAACCAAAGGACTTGTATGCATGCATATAAGCATAACCAATGGACACAGACACTAGGGGGTGAGGGCTGAGGGGTGGGCTGGGGAGAGGTCAATGGGGAAAAAAGGAGACATAATGTAATACTTTAAACAATAAAGAATTAAAAACATAATAATACATCAATTTTGGCTGCTATATTGATACTAGTTAATGCAGTGCCATGTGTGGTTGGGGTGTATCAAATAATTTTTAATAAAGTCTTACTTTTAGAATGTTTATTTCCTTTGGGAAGAAAGTGCAGCTCAATCTTATTTTAATAAAAAAAAAACTTTACCGTGTTATGAATAAAAGTTTCTAAAATATAAACTAATCACATTTCTTCCCTACTTAAAAACCTCCTAATTTATGAAATAAGGGACAGAGAGCTAAGGAAACCTTTCATTTTTATGTTATAACCTTCTAATATATATATGAATTTGTTGCAATGAGTATGCATTACCTTGTAGCAAGAGAGAAAATATACATCCAAATATCAAAAACGGGGGGGGGGAGGTGGGGGAAGAAAGTCAAAGATTCCAGTCTAAATTGCCCACAGGATAAAGTTTGAACACCAGCCTGATAGATAGGGTTTTAAATCTGCGATTTCCAACTTCTTTCTTTTTTTAAAAAAAATATATATTATTGATTTTTTACAGAGAGGAAGGGAAAGGGATAGAGAGTTAGAAACATCAATCAGCTGCCTCCTGCACCCCCCCACTGGGGATGTGCCCCCAACCAAGGCACATGCCCTTGACTGGAATTGAACCTGGGACTCCTCAGTCCACAGGTCGACGTTCTATCCACCGAGCTAAACCGGTCAGGGCTCCAACTTCCTTCTTAAGCTTCATCTTCCACTAACAATCTTCTACCCTCCACACACATGCACATACACTCCTATGCTCCAGTGGAATAGAACTATCTTTTCTAAAGACACCACAATTTCCCTCTTTAACTTCTTTTTTTGTGTACACTTTACTCAATTTGTAAAGCCCTGCCCTGCCTGTTGTTTCCAATGAAATTCCTTCATGATCCAACTCAAAACATGCCTTTTTGGTACATAGCAGAATTAATGCTCTCTCCTCTGTATACCACAACACTATGTTATACAACAACTTCTTCCATTACATTGTGGTCAGAGCAAGAACTATGCATGAATCATACTTCAGATATCTTTGTACCTCTCTTTCTCTCCCTTTTTCTTCCTCTTTTCCCTATGTCTGTGTCTGTCACATAGAAGGTATTCAATAAATGTCTGTAGAATGAATAAATAAACGCATTAACAAATCAATATCTTTTTCTAAGGTAATAGAACTCATGTCCAGTGAATAAATATTGTTTGAATAGTTAATAAAGAGTAAAGGAAAGTCAGCCTGAGAACCAGTTGATTGAATTCCAGCTTTTAAATGAGATAGATCATATTTTTAACATTCACCAATTCCTAGCAGTGTGGCCTTTGGCAAGTGACCTCACCTCAGCGGGCTTCACTTCTTTGATTTATATAATGGGCTAATAATATCTACTTTGCAGTCAGTTGAAAAGACCTGAATCACATAGCCCAGTATCTGGCAAAACCTAGATGCTCATTAAATGGTAGTTATTACCATTAGTTTTCCTATCTTGTACAATGTTTCAGTTTGGTATATTTGTTACTGTCACATATTTGATTATATATGCTAGCTGTCTAATTCCTGCTAATTTTTCTTTTGGAGCACATTGTAAATGTCTCATTATATTTTAGACACTGTCCATATTACCTAGCTCAGTGCTGGCCACATACTTGATTTTTTAACTACTGAATTAGAAATATAGCTTATATTGAAAAAATCCCCACTAGATCTGGAGTCAGGAGATCAGCATAACCCTACATTAAGTTGTTTTCCTTTTCCTGGGCCTCCTCAGCTCCTTCATTTGTGAAATAAAGAAATAGATTTTTGAGTAATTTAAAACTCACAAATTCTGTTGCTCTATGCTGAAATAATTGATTCTTTTTATGCAATAAGGACTTTTACTATAGTTAAATAAATTTCTATAGCCAGGTAGAAAAATGTAGGGACCAGGTATGTTGACTAACCATACCAATGTTAACACAGGAAGTTAACACATGAATCTTTTCAGTCTAGGAGAAATCAACACAGTTGGTCTTCCTAGCTCCAAGTATTTTGACAAATAAAAAGATTTTTTTCTCTGTAGCTGCTGAAATCTTTTGTTGTCTTGAATTCCACATTGACAAATAGTGCTTGGTCTTGAGGGTAGAGATGAGCAATTGAACAAGAGAGAAAAAATAAGAAGAGTCCTTAATATACAAATAAGCACCCTTCTCTGGGTAATGATAATTGGCTATCATTGAATTAGTCACTGTAGAGAACTTTTATGTAACAGACACTATGTTAGGCTATGTTGTCAAGGTTAGGGATGTAGAAGGTTCTATCTCTGAACCCAGGCTAAATATTTGTGTGTGTGTGTGTGTGGGGGGGGTAGGCTATCTACCTGCGGAAATGTACCCACATACCACAAGGTGGTGTATAATGGCAAAATATCTTAGATTGTTTAGGGAAGAAATAGAAGACCAATGAGGACTAGAAGACGTAGAATTTAAGGCTCTATAGGATTTAGATGGATTATTTTTATTTCTGTCTGTTTATTTTTAATTTTTATATTTTTTCAATTACAGATTATATTCAATATTATTTTATATTTGTTTCAGGTGTACATCATAGTGTGTTGGTTATTGAAGTGGATAGGCAGATAGTCCCAGGGGTGATATACATACTGCTAGATAATAATGCATAGGTTCTACAGATAACTCATTATTAATATACCTCCAACTCTCATGAAGAAAATACCATGGACCTAAACCATGAATGCCATTGATTAAACAAAAGGAAATATTCCAAGAAATAAAAGGTAAGTTTAGGGGTGAATGAGTCGGTGAAGGGGACGGGGTTGAGATGAAGGGAACTGGGGAAACAGAATTACAATACAAATGTTTCGTACAATTTGTCTTTTGAGTTTTCTCTCCTTTTTAGGGTTAGCTCTCTGCTACCACAATATTATTTGACCCTCACCACTGCATTAGAGACATTGGCATGATGTAGAGGAAAGGGCACAGGTTTTGGAGGCCAAATATGTCTCCACCACTCACTTGCTTTGTGACTTTGGGCAAGTGCACTAACCTTGTTGGGATTCTGTTTGCTCATTGCTAAAATAGGAGCAAACATACCTACTTCACTGGGTTGTTCTGTGTAATAATGAGATAATTAATGTGTATAACATGCCTGACATTGTAGCTGGAAAATATTAGTGGCTCAGTGATATAAAATATAAGTTCCTCACATATCTCCTAGGGTAATGACCATGTATTTATTTGATTATTTGTCTAATCTCCTTCAAGTGGTCTCAGAAAGAGAATCCTAAAGGAGAGTTGGAAACACAGAAGAAATCACTAGCACCCGCTTTGATCACTGCTCATGTCTCACCTGGAGATTTCAGCTTCTTCTTCATTCCCCCCACCCTGGAGAGAAGAGAGAGAGAGAGAGAGAGAGAGAGAGAGAGAGATTTAAGTCAGGACACTACACTAGCCCCTCTCAAGTCCATAAGAACACGAATTCCTTTCCTTGGCCTTTATGGTGTGTCATGCAAGCAGTATGGCAACCTGGATATGTAGGAGAGGTATAATTGGCTATTAATGATCTGCATGTTTTGAAAGTTGATTCCTGCTATCCAACTCTTGTGCACTGGCAAGAGCCGATTAACAGGCATGAACTCTAGGGCAAATTTCCCAGGTGCAAGGAATAACATTGTTACTTTATGGGAAAGTTGGGTCAATGAGCCATCTCATTACCCTCTCCAGTGTCTTTCTTTGGTTAATTTATAAAGTCCAAGAAATTTGCTTTCAAAGCTGCTCAATGTCTCTGTTAGTGGTCCCTTTATATTTGTAGGAATTTCCCTCTCCCTTCACCCTTGCCCTCAGATATCTCAGCCCTCCACTGAACCCCTCCCAACTTCCTGCTAATTTCCCCCAATACCTCTTCTCAACCTTCCCTCTACCCTTCCCTAACCCCTCCATACATCACCCAATCTCTCTCTGCCCCAACTCTTCCCCTACTTTCTCCATCACCCCACTCCATCACCCACTGACCTGTAACTACCCCTGGAATATTTAGTACATCACCAAAACTTTTAGCCTTTTCCAATCCCCTCTCTTCCTCCCAACTTATTTATCCCTTCTCCTCTTCCCTCAGTTAAGCCAAGAAATAATTCAAATACCGGTAGAAATTACCAATGTTTATTGATTTTTAAAAAATATCACTTGCAAATTATTTTTTATTGAAAAGATACTGCAATTGTTGTGATAGAGAAAAATGTTGATAAGAAAAAAATCAAGTCAGTCTAACAGCTACATTTTTCAAAGTTAGTTTCTAATATCTATTCTCATGCATATTGTTAGTATAAATTGTAATTAAAACTGCTCAAACCTCAGAGGGAAAGTAGGGGA